GATCATAAAATATTTACTACGTCATTTTGATTTTGTGTAAAATTTTTAAAAAATTGCCGAAATAATGACTTGTAATGACGTTTCCCGTTTGGCAATGGAATTTATTAATCAGTGGTGCGTTACAAACATGATAAGGGTGCATTTTATTCCAGTTTAATTTAATTCCTTATTTATTTTTTTTTTTTTTTTTTTTTTTTTTTTTTTTGTAATGGGTTCAAGAAAAAGTATGTGTACATCTATTAAAGGTGTACAGAAGGAATACCAGTTTATTTCATTGTACGATGCAGTATATGTTCTTCAAAATTTTCAGTAAGCCATGGTAGACATACAGATATTAAACTTCATATAAACAGTAATAAACATAAAATATCAAACTCTGCTGTTGCATCTAGCACATCATTAAAGAATTTCTTCAAACAGGAGGAAATGGGTGATAAGGAAGAATAATTGGTTAGAGTAGAAGGCATTTTTGCATACCTTCCACAGACATAGCTTTAGGTCTATGGATTATCCGGCTAAGCTGTTTCAAGTGGTAGATAAGCCTAAATATACATGTGCATGAACCATGCCCAAAGCAATAATATTAAATGTATTCATGTCTTACACTTTAACAGCTTTGCACAATGATTTGGAAAAATGTTCTTTTGTTTCAATCTTAACTGATGTGTGTCCAATCACAAGGAAATAAACATTTTTCCAATAATTGTTAGATTTATAGGTTGGAGTTATGAAGTTAGAGTAAACATTTTAGAATTTAAATCTTTACCTGGTGAAACATCCAATATTGTCTGCAACTATTCAACTACCTATCTTGAAGAAAATAATTAAAAGAAAAAGTTATTGGTCTTCGTGCCAATAATATACTCCAAATAAATGTTTTTGCCACTGAAGACTTAGTTTCAATCTCAAGAAAAGTGTCCCATGCTTATTATGAAATCCTTTGAAAATATAATAGCAGAAGCTTGGCTACTTTTATGAACACTCAGGTTTCAATATTTCATAAAGCTATTATAACAACTGAAAATCAGACTATATCTGTATTTGATGTAATTGCTTCAATGGATGCTCTGAAGACTTCAATATTGGGCAAGATATGTATAACTTTATTCCAATAAATGTTTTAAAAAAACTCATATTTGAAGAGAATGGAGACATGTCACAATACAGAGTTATTGAATTTTGAGAAGCTATTGTTTTGTTTTATCAGACTGCTCTTACTTATCTGGAGAAATGGACAAAAAAGCATTTCAGGAGATGGAAATGTTAAATGTTAATAATCATTAAATTATATCCCTTCTTGGAGTCAAGTTGAAACAGCATTTTTGTTAATTAATAAAATGATACCAAATCATAAATTATTGGAAATTCATGTATATGAGGAATATGTTTACCTTAAACAGAATATCAAGCCTGATGGCGAAGTGGCTAGCGTGTCGCGCAGCCACACCACAGGTCCGGGATTCGATCACCGGGCTGGGCAAGGTTGACTCAGCCTTTCATCCCATGAATGGTTCGATAAAATGAGTATTAAGCTTGCTTGGGGGCTAAACACCACGGGGCCGGCAACTAGCTGACCACTTGCCCAGGGCATAGGCATTGGCCCACTAGGCTGTTGCGCCACTGAGTTTAATAAACAATATATCACAAAAGAAAAAATATTGGAATTGTAAAAAAAATAATAAGATGTGAACATTTCAGATGTGGTTAGTTTGGTTTGGTTTATTTGACTGTGGCAAAGCGCTCCAGGGCTATCTGCATAAAGGGATGGATATTTTTCTGGAGGACCTTTTAAGGGTAACTGGCTCGTATCCACATTACACATGGGAGAACAACGAAAACGCTCATGAAGCCAGCCTGTTCACGGGATTTGAAACCTCAGGCCGAACTACCAGTGTTCAGTGACTTTATTGCTAGGCCACAGATGGATGGAAATAACTGCATATTTTAACAAGAACCAGATTCCTTTTTAAAATATTTTAAAATTGCCAGATTTTCTCTTTTGTCTTCATGGCACTAATGCTGCAACTGAGCAATGTTAATTGAAGACTCAGTAATTGAGATAATGAATCATATATTTTGAGGGATATGTTAATCACCAACTAAATTTTGATGAAAATCACATGGACTTTTATATGATCAAAAAGAAAGAGATGTTCTAAGAAATATTTATGCTCCAGAGAAATGTAAGGCTACTTCATCAAAATAATTTAGAAGGGTTACAAATTTATTATTTTGTTTAAAAATGATTATTGCATTTTGATTTATTCTTTATTATTAAATATTATTATATATCACTATTAAAAAATAAAATAAAAATTATTTATTTATTTATATGACCTACATACTACCTCCACCACAATAACATTAATAATAAAATAATTTATTTGTTAAAAAAAATATTTAAAAAATACATATTGTGTCCCGAATTTCAAACATCGAAATCTGGTCACCTTAAGTTAATTAGTGTATGAGATATGGTAATTTTCATTATAACTTCAAAATGATTATGATTAAATTAATTAATTAAGGCAAAACACATGAAAGTTGCCTGCTTAAGAGGTGCCTTTGTAGAAGACTTTTAAATGGAAGCTGACTTGAATTCACATTATGCCAGGAAAAACTTAGGCAAAATCACATACAACCAGCCATTTGCTTGGTCTGAATTCAGGCCAGAAAAAATTGAGGCATAAAAATGTAAAGCTCTAAATATTCACAAATTGAATTAAAATTGTCTAACTTTTACTATTTTTATCGATGAAAATCAAAGTACAAACTGATTACAGTGACATATTAAGATGATAATACTATACAAAATTTCATAAGAGCAAAAATTGTATACAAGTTTTGACGTTCGTATAAGTAGCTTTAAATGAAGGTGTGACTATATATTTCTCTATGTGGGTTCATATGCTATATCATTTGATAAGAGTTAGAATGTACCGAGTTTTATATGGTATAAATAGCAGAAAAAAATATTAAAATAAGCTTCTGGAACTTCATGAAAAATTTATTTACCAAATGTTTCTTAATAGAAAATTTTAATGTTTACAACTTTAAAAATAGTGTTGGGAATATATTCATGAAATTTTTAGTACGGATGCACCATTTTAACCACAGATTTGTTTCAGCCAAAATTTGAGTTTTAAATTAGAAGCATTCAGTATCAAAATTTAGGAAGTGACAAACTTAAAAGGGAAATAAAAATCTCTAATTATCTAGGTTCCTCAACTTTTATTTCTTTGTTAATTTATAAATGTTTCTATCTAGAAATTTTGTTTTGCTTTTCTCTGTAAAATGAAAATTATCATTATTAGAAATATTTAAAGCTAACATGAATCAGTCTTAAGAATGTGCATTAAAAAGTATAGAATTTCTATAATATATGCAAGGAAAAAATATTTGGGGGGGGGACTTCTTGCGTAGGACACTTAAAGGCGCCAGAAAATGAAATAAATATAATTTTTAAAAAGAAGATAAAATTTTCTTTTAAGAGATACTTATATAGACTTTTAAACAGAATTGGAATTGTAGTAAACCTCTCGGATTTATGGGACACATGCGGTCCACAGCTTCATCTGGCAGAATGCCAAAATTTGATTACCAAAAATAACATCGATAATTCTGCAATATCTTTTAGTATACTGTGACTGCACTATTTCATAAATACTGACATACTGAATGTATGTAATCTCACATGCAATTCCTGCTAACGTGAAATTTATGGACAAATTCTACACTATTTCATAAACACTGACATATTGCTTGCATGTATATCTCTTTTTTACAAATCCTGTGCTATTTCATAAGCAATGACGTATTTAAAGTCTATAAAAACGATTGTCCTTGAGCTAAAACATGTTGTTTATTCATATTGTTTGTAAAAGTTTTAAGATTACTTAAAATTAGTTATACAGTCAAAAGTCGTTAATTCGGACACCCATAATCCGGAATGATCTATAATCCGGACCTCAAAGCTACAAACTTTCTGCACATGCGTCGCGTTGACGCATGCTCGTAAGACCTTTACCGCTGCTAATTTGCGTGTGCGCGTGCGCAAAATACGTTTACGAATGCGCGTTTAATGTATAACGGACAGGATAAGCTAAGCTAAAATTATCTAATTATCTATTTCAGTTAATGTTGCAGATTGCGTTGTTCCTTAATCTTCGAATTGGATCCGGATTATTATTTTTTGCAGACTGTTAGCAATTTTATAAAAGTAAGCTTGAACTTTCGATTATGTCAAATAGAATTTCCGATATATATTTACTAATATGTAAAGGATATACAAAGCGAAAATATCTTTATGTAAACTTTGTTTATCTTTAACGCTGCGGCGGCGTGCATTGAATTGGAAGTTGATCTGTCAGCACTATCCTTATCTTAAGAGCAGATGTTTTTATTTTATTTGGCTTATAATTGCTTACTCAATTTAGTATTTCATCTCGTCTTTGATATGATTTAAATCAAATGCCTCGTCATTATAATACGCTTCCGATAGCGAAGAAAGTAACAGAGGTTATTGCAAACGAAAAAATTTCGATTTACAAATTAGTCGGTATTCTCGGCACAGCAATTATAGGACTTGAACAGCGGAACTTTGTAACTGAACAAGAAATTATGTCTGTTTATAGAATTAAAGAGAATGTATTATAACATAAAAAAACGAAGCAACTTAAACAACTTACATTGAAAGAAATGTTTAATAAGTAAACAATAAATATTAAGCCTTTTTTTTTTTTTTTTTTTTTTTTTTTTTTGTAAATTTTGATACCCTTTAGATCATAATTGTTCTTTATTTCGTAAATTACGGTTTCGTATTTTTAATTTTATAATTTCTGCATGCCATTTTACCAGATTTAAACTGATGATCTATAATCCGGAAAAATCGATAATCCGGAATCGCCGAAGTCCCGACGAGTCCGGATTAACGACTTTTGACTGTAATTTTTTCTGGATGCTTTATAAATAAATATCTCATGTATAATTTTTTTTTTCAGATGCAAATGGTGGATTACAACATTAAAAAACTAAAACAAATGATAGAGTATACACATTCACCTCAGCAATTTTATGAATTATTTCATGTGAGTTTGCCTGCATTTTTGAGGATGAGAGATATTCTTTATAAGCAAGATTTAGAACCCAGTGGATGGATACCAGAAATAGAACTTCTTTTATTTCTTTTTTGGTTGTCCAGTGGATCATCATTCAGGAAAACTTCTTCATTTTGTGGCATTTCTGTACCATCCCTTAACAAAATATTTCAAGATATATTTAATAAATTTCTTGCAAATTTATCCAATGTTATTCAATTTCAAAAGACAGACACAGAGTATCTATGTGCAGGCTTTCAGAAACTGACATCATGTCATATTTTTGGACTTGTTATGGGCTGTTTGGATACATATCATGTTCCAATAAATCTTAAAAGTAAGGACAAACATTACATTAATAACACACAGAACACATCAATTCAGGTTCAAGTTGTGTGTGATTATAATGGAGCTTTTATAGATATTGCAATTGGTTTTCCTGGTGGCATGTTGAAATCTCATGTGTTACAGTGTACTCCTTTGTATTTGGAAGCTTTAATGCCAGCCAAAGGATTTGTTCTTCTAAGTGGCTCTGGTTTTCCTTGTTTACAACAACCCATTTGTCTAATACCACCCTTTAGTAATGCTGATGATCCTGTTAAAGAAAGATTTAATTCCTGCCAACAGAAAGTTCATTCAGTTATCAAAAAAAAGTATAGGTCAGATGCATGAAAGATGGAATAAGTTATTTTCTAAACCATTAATTCTTAGTTTACCTCTTGTAACAAAAGTGGTTATTGCTTGCTCTATGATTCATAACATATGCATAGAAATGGAAGATATTTGGCCAAAAGAAGCTTTTGTTGATTTTAATGTTAATGAGGAAGATACAAACATTTATGAAGGCCAAATTAGTGGTGAAAATACGCAAAAACAGATGGCAGTTTCTTTACTTTCTGAACATGAAATGCAGAAAATTATGAATGATTATTCTGTGTATGAAATATAAGTATGTCAAATTATAGAAGCTTGAATAAAATTATCCGATATAATTTTTATTTTATGTGTCTTATTTCAAAATATTTTAATATAAAAAGGAACTTGTGATACTGCAAAAGCATTATCTGGCAAAAAAATGCATTAGTAATATGATTTAGGACAGGCTGTATTTAATTTAAACAATCATACTCAATTTTATTATTTATTATTCTTTTCAAATACAAAATAAGATCAGTTAATATTTTATAAAACTTTACATACATCATGATTATTTAGTCTGATATCAAATAGGTGCAACATCTGGAAGATTCTTAATGACTATGTTAATAATGTGTTGCGTAGAACTGTAATGTAAAAAAGAATGACTTTAAATTTTATTATAGAACACATAGTAAATGACAGAAAAATTATTTTTAAACTGTGAAAGTAATTGTATCAATAGTTGCATTATACTTATTTAGACTTTTTATATGTTCACATAGAAAAAAGTGCAATCTCTTCATAAAATTATATGTGTTTTCTTTATATAAAAATTAAATCATTTAGATAAAATGCATAATTTTAAATTTAATGCTATTAAATAGTATTTTACCATCAGCTTCATGCATAGAATAGTTTCTAGTTTAAAACGAAAACTCATATGTATATACATTTGGGAATTCAGATTTTTTAGTTTTACGTTTACAAATGACAGTGAAAGTTCTGTACTTAAAGTAATAAATTTTAAAAATCAAATCAGAATTTAAAGTCATATTCAGCTATGTTGCCATAACATGAAGATATTTAACACAATTTAAAAGTCATGTAGTGTGTTCAGTTAAATAAACTTCATCACTTCACTATTAAACAAAGTTGCATCTAAACGAAACTTGCTGTAGACTGTAGCAGAACCTGTACTTTTAATTTCAATACTGTGTGCATCAACCACCATGGAAACAATTCAGAAATATATTTCCAAATTTATATTTTGTTTTCATAGGCTTCATAAATGTATCTGTGAAACATTTATGAATGTATAATAAATGCTAAAGCAAGATTAATCATAACAGCATAAATGTGTCAGTATTTGATTTAGATTAATAAAGCAGGGCATTGGCCACTCCTAAGGCCAGAAGTGGTGGCCATTTCATTGTGCATGGTAATTTAGATAGAACTAACAGGTGGCCACCATAACCTCCTATGAACGGACAGACAATTTTACATACTTGCCTTCCCCGGGATTCGAACCCATGCCCTTCGGCACCGCAGTCAGGTTCCCCTAACTACTATACTGTCTGGTGGCTCATTGTTTATAATTTAGTACAAATAAAATTATGTATCTGAGATGTAAGTATTCCATAAAAATAAAACTGAAGCACACACACAGTGAAAATATTGGCACTAAAACATTTATATTTATTAAAATTATAAAGTTTTCTAAAAGTAAATCATAATGAATAAAAAAGTAAGCGCTTATAATATAAAAGTCACATATTTTGGGGCTTTATTTTAATCATAAAATCAATTTTCCTTTCTCCTACATATGAACTGTTAATAAAGTTCATATTTTATCAATCCATTTCCCCATAAATATATAAAATAGCTTTGCAAGAAATAGTTAATTCCTTTTATGGCTTTATTAATTACTGCCAATATAAATCTTATATGGCACTTGAAGATTATTAAATCATTATTTGTAAAAAGAATTAATTAAAAAAGGCCTTTTCTATCAGAATATGATATATAAAGCAATCTGAAGGCAGTATTATTGCACAGTGTTACAAACAGTACATAATTACACAAATTATGCCCTATATTTCAAAAACTAATATATCTTCTCATTGTAGGCATCAACAATGAAGTATGTGAAAGACCTATTACTTGTCATCATGAATAATAAAAAATGGCAGTAAGGAGGCACTAGTAATTTCAGCTCTTCGTTTTCACAAATCATTCAGCCTCTCAGAACCTAACGCATGATCCCCTGCAAGAAAAATAGTAATGTAATAATATAATATCAACAAAATAAGAAATAAAGGATATTTGTTTTATTTATGCATCATACAAAAAATAAGAATTTAAATCTCTAAACCAAAATAAGTGAGGTTATTAAAAAAGATTTTCACATAGCAAAAAATTACGTGGATGCTGGAAATGCTTGTAAAAATGTTGCCAATGCAGGTTTTTTTTTTTTTTTTTAAGGGTAATAAATAATGTTCAATCAACTGTTTCTCATTCAATCCTATTAAACTTCTTCTCTGTTGAGTTTTTTTAAAAGGTGAGTGAAAAAACATTATGAACACTTTGTATATGTACACTGTGCAAAAAAAAAAGGTGGGACAGTCTAAATCTCTTATTCTACTGGGCCGATTGACGAAATTCGAATTGTGTTTTTCATGTCTCGAAAGCATGACTTAGGATATGCATTAATGCATTAGCTTTATATATAGCATTGTTATAATATATGTATTTTGACAAAAAATCAGACTTTTCTGAAATGACATGCAATTTTTTTTCCATATTTCGATTCTACGATTCAAATTATGCCGAACTGCCATGTTTTGTAAAAATCGCACGCGTAGTTTTTAAAAAATTAGCTCTCAAAATTTTAACTCTTCGGTGTTAATTGAATTTGATATATATTTATTAATATCTCTTTTTCTAGTAAACTTACTTGATTCCTTCTTCCAGAATTCATAATTTAGGCTTAATCCAAATATAATTTGCACATTTTTTATGATTTATTTTTAAAATTTGTATTTTTAAATACTTTTTATAAATTTCTCGGAAAAAATTTGTATTATAACCTATACAATTTTTAATATTATCTTAAAGAAGATGTATTTATAGGCGCACCTGCAAAAAATTAGAGTTTTTTATTCAATTTTCTTTTAAGATATACATGAATTTACATATTGGAGCATTTTGAAATTTGGCATCTTTTGTTTTTAGCGATAGTAACGCCAAACGATAATACGCACTTTGTTAAAATTATTTGAAAGTATAAACGATGACTTTTTCCCCCACTCGTCTACAATGAAAAAAAGAAAAGGAAAATAGGTTGTAAAATGAAGAAGTTCGCCAAGTAAATTATTCTTGGCAAAAACTGAAAAAGCCAAGATAAATTTTTGAATTTCTCCTTAAATTTCGCATTAAAATTTAATATTTAGGCATAATTTGAGTCGTAAAATCAAAATATGTAAAAAAATTCGCATGTTATTTCAGAAAAAGTCCGATTTTGTGTCAAAATACCTATGCTAGAATGATGCTATATATAAATCTAATATATATCCTAAGTCGTGCTTTCGAGACATGTCAAAAGCAATTTGGATTTTGTTAATTGGTCCAGTAGAACAGGAGATACAGAGCTGTCTCCATCCCCCGGTAGTGTACATTCTTTTTTTAGGTGACTAGTTAAGAATTTCTAGTAATTATCACCAAAATATGACTTTGCTAATACAAAAAATCTTTAAAAAACAGAGTATGATAATATTCATTCACAAATATTCATTGAATTTCATTTTCATTCTGATCTTAAAGTATAGGATTAAATGCAATGTAAAAGGGTGACTATAATTTTTTTGGCTAATTAAGCTCAGTACAGAGAGAACATAAGTATAAGAAAGCAGTAGGCAACTCTGTTATTTTAAAAGATTTCTACCTTTGGGACTGTGGTGATTTATCAGTAAGCTTCATATACTTCTGTTGTTTAAAATTCAGTCTGTACTTCATTTCTCTGCTAAATTTGGATTATGAACACTGCGTTTTTCATTATACAGTCAAAAGTCATTAATTCGGACACCCATAATCTGGAATTATCTATAATCCGGACCTCAAAGCTACAAACTTTCTGCGATTGCGTCGCGTTGATGCATGCGCGTAAGACCTTTACGGCTGCAAATATGCGTGTTCGCATGCGCAAAATACGTTTACGAATGCCCGTTTAATGTATAACGGACGGTATAAGCTAAGCTAAAATTATCTAATTCATTTAATGTTGCAGATTGCGTTGTTCCTTAATCTTCGAATTGGATCCGCTTATTATTTTTTTCAGACTGTTAGAGCAATTTTACAAAAGTAAGCTTGAACTTTCGATTATGTCAAATAGAATTTCTGATATACAGTGTTATCCAAATTAAACTTCCCTAACTCAGAGGACTGTGCAGAGTGTTGTATGGGTCATAATGTGATGAAATTTTAAAAACAGACACTTCAGATCATGCGCTCGAGATTTATTACACAAAAAAAATTAGTACAAGAAGTTGTCGATAGGTGGCGCAGTAAAACTACCAATGTGCATATTGCAGCAACGTGATTTGCAGAAAAAAAGCTTCTGCGCAACGTATCCAAAAGACGAGCCCTACAAAAGTGGAAGACAGGCCTTGCACAGGCAGTTGTTTCCAGCTATAAATATTCAGTACATTTACACTGTCAATGCCTTTACCCGAGCACTGGCATTCTAGCTACGCCATTGCTTGTATGTTTTGAAAGTATGTTTCGAAGTCCATTAAACAAAAAGTGGAATTGCTGCAAAAAATGGATAAAGGCATATCCTTTGTTTATCTAACCATTCCGAAATCTGTTTATCAATTTCACGCTGCTCTGCAGCGGGGGGCAATGAATTGGAAGTTGATCTGTCAGCACAATCCTTATCTTCAGGGCAGATGTTTTTATTTTATTTGGCTTATAATTCCTTACTAAATGTAGTATTTCATCTCGATGTACTCCGTCTTTGATATGATTTAAATCAATTCCCTCGTCATTTAATTCGCTCTGATAGCGAAGAAAGTGACACAGAGTTATTGAAAACGAAAAAAATTTCGATTGAAAATTAGTCGGTATTCTCGACACAGCAATTATAGGACTTGAACAGCAGAACTTTGTAACTGAACAAGAAATTATGTCTGTTTATAGAATTAAGGAGAAAGTATTAGCACATAAAAAACGAAGCAATCTAAACAACTTACATTGAAAGAAATGTTTAACAAAATAAACAAATAAATATTAAGCTTTTTTTTTTTTTTTTTTTTTTTTTTTTTTTTTTTTTTGGTGTAAATTTTGATACTCTTTAGATCATAAT